TGCTTCAACCACTCACCAAGGTATGGATCGTTGCAATATTGCAATATTGTGATTCATTGTGAATGAAGAGAAAGCAGAACGTGTGCGCCACATGCTGCGTGGTTCATCTTACATCGTTAAGTTCCAATGAGTTTTTACGTGACAACACAAACAAAACGGCCCTTTTCAGGGCCACCACACACTCCACAAAGAGAACTACCGTAACAAACACAATATTTAAATAAATCGAACGCGTTCGTTTTTGACAAATAAAACTTTATTGTTGACCCCGTTCTTGGCTAAAAATCACCCTGGGCGTTTAACCGAGGATGTCCCCAACATGTAACTTTTGTGAAAACAGGGGGGTGGGTGCTTGCCCAGGGAGGGGCGCGTGCCCGGGGTAATACGGTATATATAATGATTATGTTAATCAATGGTTACAAATAGCAACAATGTTTTGATTCCTTGTCAATCAAATTGCATGAAATGCTGTCACACGTATCAGTGTATAACAATGGTCAATTATGATTGTGTAGCGACTAATTGTATATTCGCAGATATGACAAACAAAAAAGTTTATCAATTTAAAAATAAAATAATTTTTTTTGGTGTAATTTCATAACTGATATTGTAAACCGTTATTCGTTTACTTGTACAAATACTCTTGTTTATGATTGTTTTGAGTCCAAATGGCAAATAAAAAGGAGAACTCTGACGTTAAATCTTCTGAACAACTCGTTGTAACAAAGTACTGAGACAACAGATGTTTGTGATGTGCATGTGAAAAAACATCACAAAATCACCATTTTTTCACGCCAACATTGTTTTATGTATATTGCAACAATGTACGCAAAAAATTGGTGGATGCGTAATGAAAATATGCAAGCTAACTGGAAACACTGCTTATATATTGGCATACTTTTGTTTCCATAGCAATGGTTCAGAAATAAACAATAACAGAAAATCTGATTTTCTCTCAACAGTATCTTCCACAGCTTGGTTATAAAAAAAGAATTCATCTTATGAACCCCATGGGTAAGGAAGTAAATTTTCATTTTTTTTTTTTCATCATTTTGTCAAACTTACAATAAGGATTGTACTTGCAGTGTGGCTTCTATGCTATAATGTTTTTATGAAAACAGTGCAAAGTATGCACAAATGCAGTACAGTGATTGTATCAGCCGATCAATGTGTTCCTGTATTGCCTGAGTGCATACTTTGCAGTATTCTCTAATGTTCTTGTTATACATCTTTTTTCTGCTTGTAATAACAATTTAAAGAGAAATAAACAAACAACGTTTCATGCCGTGCAAACATTTGCGTTTAGGGACTGGATTCTATTTCATTCATGCACTGATATTGATTTTGTGTCTAAAGTAAACAAAAGAACATATTTGAATGTGATGTAAACATGATGCATAATTTCTGAATGAGGAAGTCGTTCAATTGTGTTCACTCTTTAAATCTCTCTCATTCGTCAAATTCATCAAACATTATTGTGAAATAATTGTTATGTATATCTATTTCTATTTTTACCCTTGACATGATTAATTTAACTGAAGATATTATGCCAATTTTTTTCAGTTCCTGGTTTGACAGGAGCAAAAATGAGTTCATCAGAAGAGGTGAGACTAATTTGCATTATTTTATTTGCCTGTCATTACATCATTACAATACCCGTACACATATTCTGACCCCTAGAAGTAATTGCTGCTCTTTCCCAGTGTGTAAATTTCTGCCATTGTTAACTGTTTGTATATTGGCAGAAAAATGGGCAAGTAATCCAAATTATCTTCAGCTTGGAAACATTTCTTTTTTGTATTTAGCTTTAAACGGCCATATAAATATTGACAGTGTGTTTCTGGTAACATTGAATACAAGAATAGGGTCGGGTGGGTAGGTAGGAATAACTTTTTATTTTATGAAAATTAATTAATTATTCTCAATTTATTATTCCACAAAACTGCTTGATCCATATTTTTACAGTGTATTTTTCAATAATACCCCACCCTTTGCATGTACAGGTTGAAATTTTGGGTAAAAAATTAAAGAAATTGATGTCGAGCTGAAAGTATATTCAACTGCCCATTTCCAGTTTGGCCACAAAAAGATGCAGGTTCGGCCTGAAAAATCTAGGCACACTCAGGTTACTGGAAAAACATTGTTTTTTTATTATTTGGCCTTATATGGGGACAATATAAAAGTATGGAAATTAGTTCAGTGACTCATTCATGTCGTGATCTTGACCCTACGTTATCTAGAATAACATTCATACTAAACAATATTGTACACTGTCTTTGTTTCAGGATTCCAAAATAGATCTACTAGACAATTCCAATTCAGTTAAAAAGAAACTAAAGAAAGCCTTTTGTGAACCGGGCAATGTAGAAGACAATGGAATACTGTCATTCGCCAAACATGTTGTGTTTCCATTATTTAGCGAAGGTCAAAGTAAGTGAAAAACACTTGAGGCAAATTGTAAAATTCTTTATTTTCGCTGATAGGACATTTTTCCTGTTTTGAATACAGTTTATTTTCACTGAATTTTGATGAGTATGCATATAAAATGTAGGAAAAAAATGTATTTTTGCTGGATTTTATTTTTATTGATTCATTCCTTTAGCTATGTTTATATGGCAGTCAGATTGGTTCAATTGCTACGAGAGCTTCCTTTTTTAATTAATTGGTGTCCCAGTTCTCATATTTTTTTCTCACACTGAATTCTAAGCAAGGACCTGGCAATTTTCTAACTACATTCTTCCTTGTGAAAAATCCTAATCAAATTCGAGCAATAATCTGTTTATTTTCTTGAAAATTGTTGATGACAGGGAGTCGGAAATATTTGATCTGATTTTGTTCTGCAGTAGCATATTAAATTATTGATCAGAGTCAGATTACTTTCATGTTAGATTTTTTCTAACACTATTACAAAATAATTTTCACTCTAACCCATTACCAACTGTATCTGTATTTCATATTGTGAAACCCGTTACAAAATGGTGGATGAGGTTAACAAGCTTTTGACTCTTCTCCATGAAGAATTATTAAATGCACTCTCGTATCTCAAAGATTTTCATATATAATTAGCTGGTAGAGCAGCAGTTAATGAAAAAGTATGTGCCAAAATTTAGGTGAAATAGAAAATAAAATAAAATTTAGGAAAAAGATATATTCACTAGATTTTATTTTCAAAAATAGCGAGTTAATGTACTTCACAGTATATATTTTTATATTTAAATTATCAAGAAAAGAATGAGCTTCTGATCGGAATGTCATGGTCTTCTCTTTAATTTAAATACAAATACTACTGTTAAGGATTTCTATATTAAAACGTTGCACAATGCAATGTATATGAAAACTGATTACAGTCTCCACCCTTCACACTGGATTTTAATCAGAATTACGTAAGATACATTGACAACAGTATTTAAAAAATGATAATATTTACAGTCTACATCTGAATCGACCAATCAGATTAGAATGTGGAAAATATGAACGCTTCAGTGGTTTCACTATGTTTTTTTATTGTTGCAGAATTTGTCATACAAAGAGATGAGAAGTTTGGAGGCTGTGTGGAATACCCGGATCACGATTCCTTGAAGGAAGCTTTCAGAAAGGAGGAGGTTCATCCCGGCGATCTGAAGCTGGCCGTGGAAGGCTACCTCGATAAATTACTCGATCCAATCAGGAAGAAATTTGAATCTAAAGAGTTGAAAAAATTGGTCAGTCAAGCCTACCCTTCATTGCCTAAAGCAAGTAAGTCTGAGGGCGAGAGATTTTTGTTTGTATGTGCCGGGTAATATGAAAGGACTTATTTGAATAAATCACTGTAATAGTTAGCATGTCCCCCCCCCCCCCCAGCATCAGATTTTGGCTTCAAGTTCAAATCCCATGTCCATTCATTCAGAGACTCAAAGTAAATACTGCCCACTTGCCAGGCTTCCATTATTATTCGGAGATTCGAAGATTGCTAACTTGATAAATAAGGGACCTAAAGTTGACAGGCTTGTGTGTTGTCTCTATCTTTGGGGCAAAAATTACTGTATTAATATCATAATGATACATGAAATCTTTTTCAATGGAGACTCTAAATGCAACTTGCTTGTTTTTTTTTATTTTTGAAGTAAATACAAAAATAATTATATCAATCGGTTAATTTAAAGTAAGACAAATATTACGGAGTGAAGAGTTCATCACTTCGGAATTTCAATTTATAAAAGCATCTTGAGTTGTGTTAACCACAATCAACAAGCAGATGTTTTACGCAAGGAAACAAACCTGATGAATCTGATTCAATTCTTCTTCTGTTTGCTATTTTTTATAGAGGGCGGTAAGAGTGGTGCGGCTGCTGCGACAGAAGAGATCACGCCAGCGAGGTTGGATCTTAGAATTGGTAAAATAACGTCAGTGGAGAAGGTGTGTATTTTAATGCTTATTATTTAGCTATACTGAGTGTTTGTGTATTTCTAGGAAATTGCAATTTCTCTGTCTTTCGGTAAATAAAGTTAGTCGTGCAATGAAAGCCTAATATTTAATGTGATACATGTTTCGCCATTGCGTTCCATTGGCTCTGAATCTGAATAACATTTTGACGTTAAATTCTGTAACGAAAAATTAAGAAATAATAATAATAATAACTTTATTTAATTAAGCACAACAATTCCAACATATGAAGATCAAAGGCGCTGATACAATAAACAATCAGTCAACTATTAAAAGCACATTTAAATAAGTGCATTTTCAGTATGGATTTAAAAATGTCTACTGAAGGACTAGAACGAACAGACAGAGGTAATTCATTAAAAAGTTTAGGACCTAAATTTTCAAAAGCACGGTCTTTGTATAACACCTTGGACTTTTTACTACACATCTGACAAGTTTAAAATATTTAAAATAAAAACATATTAAAACTATTATAGTCTAAAATAATTTCACGTGAATTTCACATTTGTAGGAAGTTTAAATATTTGTTTATGATCATCACGATCAAATGTGTCATCTGTGGGTCTGTGATATCCATATGCCTGTTATGGGGCCACAGTGGTCTACATTACGCACCAGTTGAGTTTTTGCATAAAACAAGCTGAAAATAGTCAATATCATGACAAATTAAACACTTGATATCATAATAACAATAGTGAACTCTACAATTCTACGCTGTCTCACCTTGCATAATCTACTCATCGAATACAGTGCATTTTTTTGATATTATTACCTCATAATGGCTTTGTACATTTCGATAAAATTGTGCATGTATAACAAATTCTATGTTCTGGAAAATATCTATAGTAATTTATATTTTGCAGATATTTTTGCTTGTCTTAAGTTTATGTGAGCAACCCCCAACCCCCACCTTAAGTTACTGGCTATAAAATACCAGTAGTGAAAATAGTGGTTAAAATGATTGCGTCACTCAGATGTCATCGGTTGCAATTGATACTTTTCTTTCCTCAGCATCCTGATGCCGATACCCTGTATGTAGAGCAGATTGACATTGGTGGTGGTGAGACACGTACTGTGGTGAGCGGGCTGCAAGGGTTGGTGCCGATGGAGGAATTACAAGACAGACTGGTCGTAATGTTATGTAATCTCAAACCTGTAAAGATGAGAGGAGTTGAATCTAAGGCAATGGTGATGTGTGCAGCTAAGTAAGTATCTGATCAGTTACCATGGTTACTGTACATGCCTAGCAGCAATTAGCTTATGACAGCAATAGTATTTGTATAAATTTCATAACAATTTAAACAACAAAAATACTTTAACACTCGTAGGGTAGAGAATAAAAGCTTGTGAAACTTAATTGTCTAGATTGATTGAAAAATAGTTAGTAACTTTACTCGCTACAAGTGTCTCATTTGTGCAGGTCTTAGCAAGTCTATGGGGAAGGAACTGGCGCCCTCTTTAGACATGTTTTAGTAGATATACATACATCATTTTTATGATATTTTATCTTATTGTCTTTCTTGTGTTTTTTTTCATCCACACTTTATTAGTCCCTGTTCGGACGCAGTCCGAAAACAGGGACTTATGTTTTGCCCTGTGTGCGTCCGTACGTCCGTGCGTCCGTGATCACCTGTATCTCGAACATGCATGGACCGATTAAGTTCAAACTTCACTCATACATCACACATTATATGGGACATATGCACATGCTTTTTTTTCATGATCCGATTAACGATAGCCGAATAGCGGCCATTTTAAGGCCGAAAATGCATCAAAATCGCACATTTTCACCATTTCGGACCCGGATCTCAGTTATGCATGGACGGATTTCATTCAAATTTGGTACATACATTAAACATAATAGGACCTTGATGCAGTCATTTTTTTTTTTCGGATCAAGTTCGAAATAGCCGACTGGCGGCCATTTTGTTTTAAAGAATTCAGTTCTGGATCCGTATCCGAGACATGCTTGGATTGATCGAGTTCAAACTTCACACACACAAGGTACATCATGTCACAAATATGTATGTGCATTTGTTTCATGATCTCATTAACGATAGCCAAATGGCGGCCGCTTTAAGGCCGAAAATGCATTGAAATCGCACATTTTCACCATTCCGGACCCGTATCTCAGTTATGCATGGATGGATTTTGTTCAAATTTGGTAC